AACCCCAAAGGACGATGGCTTCTCTGCCTTCTGTGGCTCCTGGATCCTGTTGCTAGGTTGAATCTTCCTTAGCAATGAGATTCACTGAGTGGGGTTGCCAGGGTTTTGCGAGCCTGAGTCTGGGTTTGCTCCCCTTTCTCCCATTTGCAACTTGGCTCCCAATAGGACTATTTTGAATTGAGAAAAGAAATGTAAAAAGTGTGATAGGTAAAAACTGCTTGGTGCCCTACTTACTAACCAGGCCAGGTGAGGCCTCTGACTCTAAACCTGAGAGAAACTGAAGAAACAGGGTCTCGGGCCCCATCCCCATGTGCCTCTCCTATCCTTTCTGGAGAGCCCTCAAGCCAGGCTGCATCTTCTTCTTGGCAATACATCAGGGGTGTGGCCTAAATTTGGGATATGAGTTGTTGTGTGCCACCTGGAGACACTGGAAGGGAGGATGAAGACCTGAAAAACCTGTTTCTCCATTTGCCCCAGCCCAGCCTCCCAGGGAACCTCCCTGAAGGATTCCTGTGTAAGGGTGGGAGATTGAGAGTATTATTTCCTGGGAGGTGACCTGACCCTTAGGTCTTCTGATAATAAATGTGCATTTTATCAGACTCAGACATTTATTACTCAAAACGGAAAGAGGTCAGTATGGGGGATGGGGTACGTATGGGAGCCTGTACAGTGAGGTCATCAGGTCCTTGTGGGAGCCTTCACTGAGGACAAGACAGAAGCCCCATTTCAGGCCCAGATCCCAATCCCTTCTCAAGAAGGGGACAGTAGAGTGTAGGAAGCAAAGTGGGGAGCCCTTCTAGGAGCCAATGGAGGCCCTGGAAGGAAGTGGGAAGGGACCTGGAAAAAGCAGTGAAGGGTGTGAGGCGGGAAGGATAGATGAGGAGACCTCTCGGAACAGTGTTTAATTAAAGAAAAGGGAGCTAGGGAGAGACTATTCTGTAAAACCAGGGGATACGGAGACACAGGGAGAGAGGCTCAGGCCAAGGCAGGTGGGAGGAGGGGCAGCCAATGGAATGAGTCTCAGTGCAGCAGCCAGAGGCCAAGGCCAGCCAAGGAGGTAAGGAAGACAAGGCCCAGGGCTGGAGTGGGCCGGGGGCCTGCACTGTTGCAGTTGTCCTTGTTGCAGCAGGTGGTGTTATATGTCAGGCCCAGCTTGTGGTTGGTTTGGTTGAAGGCCTCCTGACAGGGCTCTTCTGGTGTGCCACAGCGCAGATTGGAGAAAACCCACATCTTACCTAGGGGTGGGAATGGGCAGGGAATCAGCTAGGATGGGCACCTGGCATGCCTGTGTCCACCTCCCCACCCCATCCACCCACCTAGGCTTCCTTCCCTCCCAATTCTGTCCCTGGCCCTCCCCTTCTCTTTTCTCAGTCTGATCTTCCTCCTGCACGTCCTTACCCACCACTCCCCCAGTCCTGGTTCTATCACTTGCTGGCCATAAGGCCCTGGACCTGTTACTCTCTCTCTCTTTCTCTTGTTTTTTTTCTTCAAGACAGAGTCTTATTCTTACCCAGGCTGGAGTGCAGTGGTGCCATCTCAGCTCACTGCAACCTCTGCCTCCCGGGTTCAAGCAATTCTCCTGCCTCAGCCTCCCGAGTAGCTGGGATTACAAGCACCCACCACCATGTCTGGCTAATTTTTGTATTTTTATAGAAATGGGGTTTCACCATGTTGGCCAGGCTGGTCTTGAACTCCTGACCTCAAGTGATCCACCTGCTTTGGCCTCCTAAAGTCCTGGGATTACAGGCATGAGCCACCATGCCCGGTTGTGTTACTGTCTCTTTTTGAGGCCGTTTTCTCAATATAATAATAGCAACCATATCACAGGGTTGTCATGAACACTAATTGAAAAAAAGACATGCAAAGACATAGAATGTTGCACACAATCATCTTTGGCCAGATATTATCATTGCTATAATCCTCTGCTTCTCTGTCTCAGTCTTAGCCCCATTTGGGCCTCAATCCTGGCCATAGAGTCTCCCACCTTCCTGCTCTCCCCACTAAGGAAGGGGATGTTACCAAGGTACGCATGTGTTGTCAGGCATTGTTGTCCTGGCTCCAGGCGGCAGGACTGCCGGTCCACACAGCCCAGCACAGGGACCTTGTAGCAGGAGTGACAGCGAATGTCAGCTGGGAAGACACAAGTCAGGCTGAGGTGGTCTCTGACTTACCTGGGGATAAGCTGAGCTGGGGGCGGGGGTGGAGGGTGGAGCCCATCACGTAGGTGCTCCAACCTGTTTGGCTGTTTGGTCTAGTAAGCACAGAGCAGGTGAGTGATGCAGGGAAAATGGAAAGTAGGCGGCAGGTAAGGGTAGAGTTGTTGCTTTGTGAAAGACCCACGCCCTACATATCTTCCTTCACTCCACCCCGTTTGGAGATGAGTCAAGAGGGACAGAGCTATGAACAAAAACATGGGGCTGGAGATAGATGGAATGTGAGGAAGATACCATGGGGAAAGAATGTGGGTGGTGAAGGAGGAGATGGAAACTTAAAAGAAGAAGAAATAATAAAAATGAAAATCATGACTGTTACAACACTGTCAGAAATGTCTTGGAACTTGAGGTTGGGGAGAAAGCCATTTGTGGCCAGCTTTAGCAATTTACAATTTACTCTTCACCTCCTGGAGCTGGCAAGAGTGTGGGAAGAGGAACCAGACCTGAATAGAATCCTCTCACCCCAGTAGCTCTTCAGCAGAAAGGAATGATACCTGAGAGACAGATCACCAGATTCCATCTTAGCACTTTATCAAAATGGAGAGGGTGGATACAGAAGGCGGTACCCCAAAGTTCCTGCTTCAGTTAATTCAAGGTTTGGGCAGGCAAGTTTGGTGACACAGGGTCCAAGGGTGGAGGAGCCTGGTAAATGCACCTCAGTGAAATCCACCTCACCCTGGAGGTGAGTGGCCCAGGTGTCCCCTCTTCAGAAGGTTCACGAAAATGCTCTATCTCCATGGAGGCTCTTAGATGTCACTGCAACCATCTAGAAAGCTTGTATCCCTGGTAGGGGAGTGGGTATGCAACCCAGGAGGGGAGTAGAGGGTATCTAGGAAAGGCCATGGCTGAGGGACTGAACATCTGAGTCCCTGATGGAGTAGATGGGGAGGGTGGGCTACAAAAGGAGCCTGGGACTGGATGCCTAGGTCTTTGAGAGGACAACTTACTGAGCACAGCAGATAGAGGAGAAGGCAGGTAAGCTAGATTCTGGAGAGCTGCATATTGAAGTGGGGCTGGTTGGGGAACTGGATACCAGAGTTTCCAAAGAGGGGACACCCTGGAGTGGGGAACAGGGGACCCAGAGCCCTGGCAGGTGAGAGAAATGGGTCTGTCTTGGAGGTGGGGAGGATGGATAGAGACCTGGCATTTTGAGAAACAGAGCAAGGAGGCTGTCATAGGGAAGCCTGGTCTTGGTGGCATAGGAGAGCTGAGCCAGTTGGGGCTGGGGGTGTTGGGATCCCGAGTGGTGGGTAGGGCAGGGAAGTGGGTAAAGCAGGGTGTAAAGGTCCTGACCAGGCAAACCAGGTCCTTGGGGCCCCCAGGTGCTCACCTGAGACCCAGCAGAGCAGAGCAGACAGGGTGAGCAGCAAAAGGGCTTTCATGGCGAGGGTCCTGAGAATGGTGGCAACCACAGCAGCTACTAAAGTAGAATCCAGCTCTGGGAGTTGAGTGGCCTTTTTGGAACTTATAAACCTAAAGGCTCCTCCCTTCACTGCCTCTGATAGCCCCTCCCTTCCCACTTACTACACAGCTGACCAGAGAAAAGACAAGGGGTGGGGAGGCACTGAGCAGGACAGAGTGGGAAGTAGGGATGAGAGAGAGGGATGGGGGAGGGCAGGTGCCACTAGTGGCCAATGCCATTGTGGTTCTTGGTTTCAGGCCAAGATGCCCTTCCTGGCCCCCTGCTAACAGTCCTGCTGCTGAGTCCTCTGAAGGAGCATCATCAAAGGCCTCTGTGATTTACAGTGTCCATGGTGGTAGCTTCTGCTGGTTCCTGGGAAATGGACAAAAGGATAAGGCCCAAATTAATTGCTGAATTTGGGTCCCTGGGTCCCTGCTGGACATTGATAGGGACATGCTGGTGGAAATTGGGGATGGAATGGGTCAAATTAATCTCCATTCAGGCCCCACTCGGTCTTTCCAATGCCTGCTCAGCCATCAGTGACTCACTGATGGCTTCTGTGATGCTATAGCAGCAGAGGCAGGGGCTGGGGCTACTCATCTAGGGGAGCCACCACAGGTCTGCTAAGTAGGGGCTGCCTCAGGCTCCCATGAAGGTTCTCAGGACGTCACCTCGGCTCCACTTGCACTTGGTGTGACCTTGTTGCTCCAGTCCAGCAGCAGCAATTGTCCTAGGTGTGGCTGTGTGCACCTGCTCCAAAGCACCTCCTCAATCAAAACCTGCCAACTTGGGCAGGGCACCAAGGCAGGAGGAACAGCATGGGCACAGAGAGGTGAGGTAGAAGCTAAAATAAGAATAGAAATAGTAGGCTGGGGGTGGTGGCTCATGCCAGCAGTCTCAGCACTTTGGGAGGCCGAGGTGGGTGGATCACAAGGTCAAGAGATCAAGACCATCCTGGCCAACATGGTGAAACCCCGTCTCTACTAAAAATACAAAAATTAGTTGGGTGTGGTGGTGTGCGCCTGTAGTCCCAGCTACTCGGGAGGCTGAGGCAGGAGAATCACTTGAATCCAGGAGGCAGAGGTTGCAGTGAGTCGAGATTGCACTCCAGCCTGGCAACAGAGCAAGACTCTGTCTCAAATAATAATAATAATAATAATAATAATAATAATAGAAATAGTAATAATAATGGCAAGTACTTACATAGTGATCCTATGTATTCTAAGCAGTTTACATGCATTACTTTATTTCGTTATCACAATACCCTACAAAATAGGGATTTTTGTTGTTGTTGTTGTTGTTTTTGAGACAGGGTCTGGCTGGCTCTGTCGTCCAGGCTGGAGTGCAATGGCCTGATCACAGTTCACTGCAACCTGGACCTCCTGAGCTCAAGCGATCCTCCCTCCTCAGCCTCGTAAGTAGCTGGGATTACAGGCGCGCCTGAAAAGTTAAGCAGGCAAAAGCGTTTGTGTAAATGGCCCGAGCACACATTTTAAGTGAGCACCATCTGAGGACTCTGAGTTTGCCTGCGAGGATTCCCAAAGGGATCTGGGTAGTTGGTGGCCCCGCCCCCTCTCTTATCGGAGCCCCCCAGCCCCTCCGTTCTCCTCACCCTCAACTTCCCTCCGGTCCCCCGCTAACCCGCCCCACGCCGCTGATTCGCTCGCAGCTTCTCCTCACCACATCCCAACCATGGCTGTGTTTCTGCAACTGCTACCGCTGCTGCTCTTGAGGGCCCAAGGGAACCAAGGGGGTAAGAGATCCCTGGGAGAGTTGTGATAGATGCAGAGGGGCTAAAGCAAGAAAGGGGCCGCCTAGTAGGGTGGGTTGTGTGTGGGAAGATCCAGGATGGCTGGAGTGCAGAAGAGAGAAGAGAAAGAGGAGACGGGATGGGGGGTCGTCTTGCCCTATGGACCGACCCTAACCACAGCCTCCGGCCTCTCCTAGCTTCTCTGGACGGCCGCCCTGGGGACCGGGTGAATCTCTCTTGCGTAGGAGTCTCTCACCCCATCCGCTGGGTCTGGGCGCCCAGCTTTCCGGCCTGCAAGGGCCTCTCCAAAGGACGCCGACCGATCCTGTGGGCCTCTTCGAGCGGGACCCCTACCGTGCCTCCCCTCCAGCCTTTTGTAGGCCGCCTTCGCTCCCTGGACTCTGGTATCCGGCGGCTGGAGCTCCTCTTGAGCGCGGGGGACTCGGGCACCTTTTTCTGCAAGGGCCGCCACGAGGACGAGAGCCGTACAGTGCTTCACGTGCTGGGGGACAGGACCTATTGCAAGACTCCCGGGCCTACCCATGGTAGGTCCAGGCCTGTGCGCACAAGGGAACTTAACTCCGACACATACCCGGAGGAGGGAAGAGGATGGAAGAGGGCCTTGGCTGGGGGTTCTTGAGCGGGAGAGCTGGCTCTCTCTCGTCAAACCCCTGACCTCAGCATCCCTCCCTGCCATGCCTTTCCCCCAGGGTCCCTGTATCCCCAGCTCCTGATCCCGCTGCTGGGCGCTGGGCTGGTGCTGGGACTGGGAGCTTTGGGCCTGGTCTGGTGGCTGCACAGGTGAGCAGGAGGGACCTGGCCTGGTTAAATGGGACTGACCAGAGGTGGAAAGAGCAGGACCAGAACCTTCGCAAAAGAAAGAGCTAGACCTAGAGCTCTGGTCCTGTCTTGGCGAAGAATGGGAGAGGTCAAAGGTGGGAGCGAGGCTGCTGGCTGGTGAGTAGAGCCCAGCCAGAGGAGATGAGCTGGAAGTGCAGCAGAGTCAGATCCTGGGCTGGACTGTCGGTGGGGGTAGAGTCTAAGTTGTTTCTGGTCTGAGCCTTCAAGTTGCTGGACTGTCCTTGGCGCGGCCTGAGTCCCAGGAGAACCAGTGAGACAAGACTGGTGGCTCTCAAAGACTCATATGTCCCTTACAGGCGCCTGCCCCCGCAACCGATTCGACCACTCCCTAGATTTGGTGAGACTAACTCCACCCCATTTTCTTTCTCCTACACACCCACTCCCCACCCCTCAATTCCTAAGTCTGAGCCCTTGCTGGGAACAGACATGTTGGTCACCTTCTCTCCATCCTTCAGCTCTGTCCCCCCCACATAGCTCCACTTGTGAAAACCGAGCCCCAGAGGCCAGTAAAGGAGGAAGAGCCCAAGATTCCAGGGGACCTGGACCAGGAACCGGTAAGGGCATGGGGATGGGAAGGGGATGGCCAGAATCTCTGAGGAATATGGACCAAAAAAAAAAAAAAGGCCTGAACCCCAAGGGAGACTGTGGAGACCATCTTGTCTTCCTGCCCTTCCTCCTCCAGAGCCTGCTCTATGCGGATCTGGACCATCTAGCCCTCAGCAGGCCCCGCCGGCTGTCCACAGTGGACCCTGCTGATGCCTCCACCATCTATGCGGTTGTAGTTTGAAGGGAAGCCCTTACTCCAAACCTCCCAAGCTAGGGGATCCCAGCTACCCATAATCCCTCTCCCCTCCTTGGTCCCTCACCTGGAAGAGGAAGGCACCATGGTATAGAAATAAGTGCTAGACTGGGAGTCGGGAGACCTGGGCTCTAGGCTGTCTCTGCCACTGATCTTACTCCTAAACTTACTCACATCTCTCCTATAACCTCCATGTCTCCCTCACCACCGGTGTCGTCTGTATATCCAATCAAGCCCTAGCTCCTATCTCACGACATCAAAAGTCCCAGACAGTTGCCTTATCTCTTCCCTTCCCTTCACAGTCAAGCTTTGGAACCAGGGGCATACACCTGCCTCTTCCATTTTCTTCTCCTTCACTTTATCCCCACTGCTCATCTGTTGAAATTGCTTATCTGCTCTCCATAAGATTGCCAGTAACGTCCTAATAGCCACACCCAGTAGACATTTTTAGCATTCATCTGGTTTGGTCTCCGATTACTCCATTCCTTTTTTTTTTTTTTTTGAGATAGAGTCTCGCTCTGTCGCCCAGGCTGGAGTGCAGAGGCATAATCTCCGCTCACTGCAAGCTCCGCTTCCCAGGTTCACGCCATTCTCCTTCCTCCCCCTCCTGAGTAGCTGGGACTACAGGCGGCTGCCAAGACGCCCAGCTAATTTTTTGTATTTTTGGTAAAGACGGGGTTTCACTGTGTTAGCCAGGATGGTCTTGATCTCCTGATCTCGTGATCCACCCGCCTCGACCTCCCAAAGTGCTGGGATTATAGGTGTGAGCCACAGCGCCCGGCCTGATTACTCCATTCTTTAAACTCTATTTTACTTTGTTGCTGGTGTTTTCTTTTTGGACTCCTCTTCCTTGCTCCATATCCCTACAGTATTCCCCATCATTCTAGGTTTGTCCCTTTCTGTTCTTCTGGGACACTCTCATCCACAGTCAGTCCTCAGCCCCCACCTCTGCAAATGACACCGAGAACTCTGGCTCAGATCTCAGATTTGGGATTAACAAACTTCCCCTTAGACATTCTGCCTGACTGACCTCAGGCATTTTGCACTCCGAATGTCAAACCCAACTCATTGTCATCTCTGAAGCTGCTCACTTAATTCTCCTCTGCATTCTCTTTAACAACCCAGTTGCCCAACCTAGAAACTGGGAGTCACACAGACCTCCTTCCTCTCTTACTCCCACACAGTGAGCCATAAAGTCCAGTCTTTCTATCTTAACATCACTGTCAAACCCACACTCTATTCCATGACCAGTGCTGCCAAGTGAATGTACTCTCCTCACTTCCTTCCTGGATTACCCATAGCCCCACCTCATCCTCCTACCCTTGCTTTCCTCCCTGAAGTCAGAGAGATGCTACTCAAGAGATAACTGCTTCTGACAGCCCTTATTACAGAACTGAAGTACTCTCCTTAGCTTCAGCTCTGTGCCCACATGCTTTGGCTTTGGATACAACATACTACAGTACTTTGTCCACTCTCCAGGCTTATCTCTGTCACTCCACATGCACATCTTAGAAAATGCCAGCCTTAAGAGAATTCTCCCTAGCCCCAAAATGTCTTTGCCCAGTGCAATTCCTTCTTTCTGTAGTACCGCTTTCCCTCCTCCACACTATCTGCCTGGCTAATTCTTATTTATCCTCAGTTCAAGTGTGGCCTTCTCTGGGAAGCTGATCCTCCTGGCCCACCCCTTGTATATACTTTGATGCCCTAGGGCACACCCCCTTTATTTCCCTCATAGAAACAGCCTTCTGTAAATTGTTCCATCACATCACAACCTGTATTTCAATTTGTAAGAAATTTGCATGTACTGTGAGCTCCCCACCATCAGGAGACCAACCCTTTTGATATCATTACTAAGCCTCAGTAAATGAATGAATGAAAAATGAATGTCCCTGGAAGTGTCATTTCTTTTTCTTTATCAAATAGGGGTGGACTGGTAATCTACCAGTGTCTGAATCATCTGACTTTTAGATAAATTCAGTGAGCAATCCATCCGTACACTCTTTTCTCTGCCCTAGACACACTTCCCACGATAGAAATTCTGTCTTGTCCATCTTTTGCGCAAGTTCCTATGACATGGTTGGGCAATGAGTTGGTAAGTATCTAACAAGTTTTTTGAATGAGAGGCCTTCTTCCCTGCACTGACCCCAACCCCAGGTTTCAGCCCTGCCTTATCCCTTTGACCCAGTAAGACACCAGTCACAGCCCAGTCTAAAAGGTCAATTCTATTTTATTGGTTCTGAGAGGGAGGACTCACCCAGTGGCCCCTATCCTTTTCCCTACACTCTGCCCTCCCCCCATATTGAGATTCTCTCCCAACTACTGCCTACTCAGCATTCTCTATCTAACCCTCCTTCCCTTTCTGCTCCCTATACTATCCTACCCCTGGCCAGCAGTACCCCAAGGCCAGGCCCTCAGCTGTGGGGGCGTGTGCTGAGCACCAAGCAGAGGGAGCTGAGCCCGGCGCCAGCCTTCTCCAGTTCTGAGCAGGACACAGGTACCAGGGTGACATCAGAGAGCTTCTGCAGTGCCTGCACAGGGAGGACATGGAGTGGGGAGAGGGTAGTGAGACCTCAGGCTGAGCCAGGCCACTCTTCCAGCCAGCTCAGAGTGGCCCCACCCAGGCTTCTAGAGAAGGTGCCCTTCCTCCCACTAGGAAAGCCTGAAACTCTTTTCTCTGATGGTGCTTGGTGTTGGAGTTCCTGCCCTCCCTCACCTCCTGGCTGTTGGGCAGATCCCCACCTCCACGGTGCAGGAGGAAAGGGGGCACACCAGGCAACCCAGGACGAAGAAAGAGACAGTCAGCAGCTGCGTCATCTGGGAGGGTCAGGGAAGCATATGGGTGATCAGTCAGTACTGCCATTGCCTGGAGGAAAAAGGAAGTGTTGCAGTCTCAGAACCTCTCCACAGCTGAGTCCGCCTGCTCAACCACCACTAAGGGCTAGGGAAAGACTGACATTTGTGCATAATAATGACAGCAAGCACATAGAGCTTACTGTATGTCAGACACTAAGTACTTTAGTTACCTTTGCTAATTTCCACCTTGGAATCACATGCAGTTATTTTCAACCCCCTACCTTCCCCAGCCCCTCCCCTTATCTGTCCTATCCATCCTTAGAGTAACAGTTTAGGTGCCAACTTTGGGGTTTCCTGAAACTCCGGAATAGCAAATTAATCACCCCTGTTCCTAGTCCCGCTGTTGTAACTTCTTATTTACTCGTGTGTTCTTTCATATAAGATGGACAGCCCAATGAGGGCAGGGGTTGGGGCTAATTTCCTAAGCCTCCTAGCTCCCTGCCTCCCGGGCCCAGAACCGCGCCCACTTTCGTTGGCCCCGCCCCCTCCTCACCCGGACAGCCTTTTGGGCAGCTTCGCTGCTGCCTGCCACAACAGTGCGAGGTCCCCCCATGCCGCAGAGACCACGCAGGTGTGAGGGACCCGAGACCGGCACAGTGGAGACGGCGAAGTCCTAGGGAGAGCGAGGGGAGGTTTTCAGGGGCGCGGGAGGGGTGATGGGATATCCTCAAACATAGGCTGCTCTGTGCCTCTCATTTTCCCCAGCGGGCTCCCAGGCCTTTCCGACCCCCCACCTGCACCCCGCTCCCTCCCTAGGCGGGTCCCGCTCCGCACCCGGAACGTATCCGCCACGATCTCAGCTCCTCGGTGATTGGTCCATTTGGAGAGGCCTACGAAAAACTCCCGGCCTGAGTCCGGGAGGCCGCGGAGGTTTGAGGGCGGGAATGAGTTGGAAACAAGGCTCGAGACGGCCGAGTCTCCCAAACTCTACTTCCCTGTGCCAAGACCCAGCTGGTGCCGCCCACCAGACTCACCGGTGAAGAGAACGTCAGTGCCATCCAGCGTCGCGTTCTCGTCTCCTATTTCCACAATTCGGAGCCCCAGGTCTTGCAGGGCTTTGCGGACTCCATCGACCTTAGGATAGGAGAAGAGGGCACGGAGCTGTGACACCCCCGTCCCCAATTCTTCCCCAAAGCCCCGACATCCAGCTTCTCCTGCCCTTCCCTATACCACACACTCGCCGTGGCGCTCACCTCTGGCCTACGAGCGGGGCTCCAGGGTCGCGTGATTAGGGCCGTGTCCCCTTGGATCACGGCCGTGTCGCCAAGCAGCGGTCCCAGCGGCAACGACTCCTCAGGTGGCAGTTCTAGCAGCTGTAGCCCCAGTCGCTGCCTCAGTTTACCTCCCAGCACCCCGTGCTCCCTTTGGGCTTTGGCCAGATCCAGAGCCGGAAGGCCAGCCCCCGCATCTTCCCCCGACGCCAGGCTCTCTGGGACTCCCCGGATCAGGGCATGGGAGCAGCGGCCCAGCCCCTCCCCCGGCGTCCCCATCCCATCCACACAGAAGCCCCCTCCAACCGCTCGAATTTCTTAGTTTTCTTGTTTCTTCACCTGTCTGGGAGAAGAAACAGAAAAGGAGGAGACAGAGAAAGACACATGCAGACAAGGGCGTTGGGGGTGGTTAAGAGCGCCCAGGTCTTCCTCCTGCCATCTCTGGGCGTCCCTCCCACTCCGCCCCACCCTCTCCAGACCTTCTGCTCCTGTCGACCCCACTCTACCCAGCACCCTCAGGGGTCAGATTCTTTAAGAGGAGCCTGAGGAACAAGGCTAGGGTGTCTAATCTCCAAAACACCTGTTGCCCCTGCTCGGGGGCTTCGTGAGGTCCCTGTCGGGCGCCCCTCTTGGCAGCCACTAGGATGCGCTCACTCCCCAAAAATGCAGCAGCCCCGCCCCCTTAACCCTCAGCTGCTCGCTACGGTAGGGACTTGAAGTCCGGCCCGGGACCCGCAGGGGTTATGGGACAGAAGGAGAAAGCTGGAGAGTCAAGGGCTGGGGGATGGAAGTCTTGAATACCCGAAAGAGAAGGGGAAAAAGGTGGGTAGGAAGGGAGGAGTTCCAGCCTAAGGAGTTAAGCATCCTCTCTCCGCCCTGGCCCGTCACGCTGCCCCTAGCAAGACCTAGTATAAACCGGACTGAGTCCCAAAGGACTGGGAGAGGTCTAAAACGAAATGCGAGGGGCGGGGAAACAGGGGGCGTGGTTCCGGGGCGCTGGCGCTACTCCCGGCTCCAGGGCCGGGTTCCCCGTCTGTGTCCCAAAGTCCACCCCGCCTAGCCCCGCGCCCAAATGCCGGCTCCCCATACTTTGTCCGGTGCAGGCATGGGCCCGGCACCCCCAAACTCCGGCCCCCATACGGTTCAGGGCCTCCCACCCAAGACTCACCTCCAGCGGCCACCCCCACTCCTGTCGCGCTGTGATCTCGGCTGGGGCCCCACCCCCCGAGGACAGAGTTGGTGGAGAAGGGAGTCCCCGTCTTCAAGCCTCAGGGACTGGGAGCTCTGGCTTTTAGGGGGTCCTTGGGTAGGCGAGCTCATATACTACGATGGGGCGGGGGCGCGACGGTCTGGCGGCTCCGGGGCATTGTCTAAGCGGGACGGGGCGGGGCTTCTTTGGGCCACGCCCATTCCGCCCTGCTAAGCCGCGCCCCCTACATCCAGACTGCGTCCCCCTTGCCAGAAATCGGCGCCGC